TGGCAAAGAAATAGACCTGAGGATCAATGGAACAGATTAGAAGATACAAACACAACTCAAAGACACTTAGCCACCTGATATTTGACAAAGATACTAAACATGTTCACTGGAAGTATAGCCTCTTTAATAAATTGTGTTGGAAAAATTGGCTTTCCACATGCCAAAGACTGAAACTAGATCCATGTCTATCACCGTGCACAAAACTAACGTCTAAATGGATCAAAGGCCTAAATATTAAAACAGAAACACTAAATGTACTGGAAGACAAGGTAGATAGAAGTCTTGGAGACATGGGGTAAGCAGAGAAATCATGAACAAAATGCAAACTGCACAGGAAACACTTCAAAGAATCAACAATTGGGATCTCATACTATTGAAAAGTTTCTGCACTTCAAAATAAATCACCAACAGAATGAAAAGAAAACCCACAGAATAGGAAAGAATTTTAGCTAGCAAGCCCTCAGACAAAGGCTTATATATTCAGAACATATGAAGAATTGAAAAACATCAAGCCCCCCAAATTCAAAGACCCCTCCAAAACTGGGCATCTGAGTTGAACACACAGTTCTCAGATGAAGATATACAAATGGCAAATAAATACATGAAGAAATGTTCTTCATCACTGGTCATTTGAAAAATGCAAATTAAAACAGCATTGAGATTTCATCTCACTCCGGAAAGAATAGCTGCCATCAAGAAATGAAGTGATAACAAATGTTGGCGAGGCTGCAGGGGAAAAAGGAACACTGCTCCACCACTGGTGGGAGTATAAACTGGTGCAATACCTGTGGAAATCAGTATGGAGAATTCCCAGAAGACTAGGATTGGAAGCTCCATTCAGTCTAGCTATTCTCCTGGTTATTTTCCCAGAAAAACTGAAAAGGTCATATCACAGTGATATATGTGCACCCATGTTCATAGCAGCACAATTTGTAATAGCCAAATCTTGGAAACAACCAAGATGTCTATCACCCGCAGAGCAGATGAAAAAGATGTGTTTTTATACAATGGCATATTACTCAGTTATAAAAAGGATGATCTTGAGGCCTTCATAGGCAAATGGAGACAACTTGAGGCTATCCTCATTAGTGAAATAAATAAGAATCATATTTATAAATATCATATTGTTTCTAGTGTAAAAAGTAATAAGAAATGGAATAAAAAAAACAAAATGTGTAATTGCTATTATAAAAAAGGAAAAGAAAGTGCTCTAAAGGATATAAGTGTATGAATGTTTTAAGTGTGTAGGATTGATAACCATATTACTAAGTTTTTGTTGGATCGTTGAACAGAAGTGTTTGCAGTCTCGATGTTTGAGTGTCCACTTTGTATGCTTTATTTTTGTAACTTGAATATCTATTTGTAAGAGGACAATATGTAATTTATCAACTAGTGATTTCTTACTGTATATTATTTTTTTGAAATTATGTATTTACCCTTTTTCTGTTTTTTTTCTCTTTAAATAAAATTTTTAAAAAAAGAATGACTAATATTAAATATTCAGTGAACTCATCTGTACATGTTATTCAGTGGAATGTTTGCTCATTTGGTGGTTAAAAGGAAACTTAGGTGTTACTGTATTATAGATATCCTTGGTTTTTGTATGAAAGTATTTGTTGATGTTTAAATATTTGACCTTCAAATTTTCAGGGTTCTTCCTTAGTGATATGATAGTGAGGAATTTAAGGAAAAATTATTTACTTTCATATTAAGAAACAAATAGCAGGATTTGGGCTTTTCTTTCCCTGTGACATAAAATACTGCTTATAAAGAAAGTGTATAATGCTATCTCCATATTACTACTGAACAGAGGTAGAAAAAGGCATCTATCTTGCTGTTTGTACTATTAAAATTATAACTATGCTGTTTAACATATGCTGTAGTTGAATTCCACAGATTTAACCATACCTGATTTCTCAAATTTATTGAAATGTAAATGTTGTGGCTACTGGGAATTATTATTAGAAAGTTATTGGATTGTGCATATTAAATATCATTTCTTCCAAGAAACTAATTAAAGGTAACCTTTGCAGAATTGGAGACTCTGCTAAATCTGTTCTAATTTTGTGGCTAATGTTAACTGCCTAGTAAATCTTAATGAAACTCAAATCTACACATCTGAATGTAGGAAGCACTAACTTTACACCAACCTTGAAGAGCTTAGGTCTCTGACTGCTGGATGGTCGTTAAAGGTATAGACTGTGTCTTGTCAAAAAGTGGCAGACATCCAGCCCTGAACCAGCATCATGTGCCTTCTCTTTTACAAGACAGTCTAGAGGTATCCTGGAATGAAAGCAGAGGTCTAGAATATAGGCGCCCCTCCTTTATCCTGCAGGCTTTTAGAGCACAGGGGAGAAAGAACAGCATACCAAGCAGCTGCAGTGTGTACATGTGACTGAGTGGGTGTCTTGGTGGGTGTGTGCCTTCTGTGAGCATTTTGTGGTTGTGTGTGAATATGGATGTGGTGGAGGAAGACAAAATTCTACTCTTCACTCCTACGCTTTAGGGTTTGCTGAATGGTGCGGGACAATCACATTTTAAAGATAAATTGGGGAGGAAAGGTTGAGCTGAAATCCAGCATTCTAAGTTCTCTCTCTCTCTCTCTCTCTCTCTCTCTCTCTCTCTCTCTCTCTCTCTGTGTCTAAATCAGAGACCAATAATCTAAAAAGGAGATTAATTAAATCTTTGGCTGATTAAATATTTCATTATGCATACTTATCTCCTTTGAGTCTCTTAAAAATTGACCTTGTCCCTGCCTGTTGCTTGTAAGGGACTTCTTGTTTTGAAGAATGAATGAATTGTGTGAAATTTATACTGCAGAAAAAAGAAACCTACCCCCGCCCCTTTGGAGCCCTGACTTCTTCCTTAGGCTTAAATCAAAGGTGTTCTTGTGAAATCTTTATTTCAGGAAGCATGGACGAGAGACGAAGTCTTCAGCAGAATCTCTTTAGGTGCTTTCACACGTGCTATTATTTTATTGGATCCTCACAGTTGCCTGCCAGAGGAGCCATCCTATCCCCAAGAATACACATGAGAATTTGGAGCCCTCCTCCCCCAATAATTTTAAAAGATGACAAACCTAGGATTTACACCTGGTTCTTTATCTTCTTCCTCACTGTGAGCCTGAAGGACTGTTGCCATTGTCACTAACTGTCCTAGAAGGGGCTTTTTGCTAGTTTGAAGGAGGCAGGGACGTGGAAATACAGCTTTGTGATTTCACAACACCGAGCATCAGAGATGTAGGCGGGCCCCTGTCAGCTTTTCCTGCCAACTGCTGTGTGTGTGTCCATCACTTTCTGTCACAAGGAAGTGGTCAGAATATTGCACAAGCCTGTTTCTGGTAGGAAATAAAACAAGTAGAAGTATAATATAAATGAAGAAACTGAATTTGCAGATATTTTTAGAAGACAAACTGCTGAAGACCCCACAGCTAGGGAACAGCAAAGCTATGTTTTCAGTAGGGTTTGTTACTTTAAAACAAATGACTGAGCGTTGTCCCTTCTCCCATGCCACCATGCTGTGCCGCACTGACCAGCTGGGGGTCAGAAGGCTTATTTCATTCCAGGGTCCTGCACAGTCCACGGCAAATTGGTTTATGTTTCCGGACCTTAGTTTTATTAATCTTGTGTTGTGATTTTTCTCATTTTTTCCTTTGTTCCTGGGAGAAACCATGAAGGAAAATTGAGTAATGCCTTAAAATCTCATTATAAAATGTTTCTGTGGTCTGGATATTGGGTTATATTTTTACAGCAAATATTTCTTCCTTTGTGCAGGAAGTGCGTGCTGCCCGAGTCTTTCTGATGAGCGAGAAAGTCTAATGTCAGTAGATCTTATCTTCATATTCTACACCCTTTATTATAATGGCATCTCGTTCTTTCTATGGAATTTTTTTTACCTTTTTAGGAATGTATGTTACATTATGCCTTTGCAAAAACAGTGACGTTTCAAGTGAAAGAGAGCGTGTCACGTCTTGTTCCTTGCCTTCCAGTTCCTGAGGGCTATTGAACGTGAATTACTCTCCCGCTTGGGATTTACTGCCTTCACTCTCTTGGTGCCTCCTACCAAGTAGTGTCCTCCTTAGCCCGATGAGGAATTCTTTTTTTAGAAAATGCTGCAGGCATCTTTACTTTTAATACAAGTCGATAGCGGGGAGAGGAAACATTCACAGAAAACAGACTCTTTTTGTGTTCTAAGTCTCATCTTGTCTGAGAAGATCTCCACTGATAATTATTCTATAAATGTAGGATGAATCAGATTTAGGGCCATTCAAAGGCTTTGTTTTCTCCCATAGGTGGTTCTTCTTGTAGTGGAACAAACTAGACATGTAGAAATGCCTTTTCCTTGTACCTTGGTGAGACTCTCCTTCATGAAGAGCCAGGTCCTTGACTGGCTCAGGCTCAGAAGTTGTGAAATAAATTTTTAGTGAGATGAATGCTCACTGCAATCAAGCAAATGAAATTATACAATTTCTTGGGAAAATTGCTTGAGAAGTTCAGCCCAGCCCAGAGAAAGCTGTAGGAATGTGTTTGATCTTTCTGGTGCATGGGCTAGATGAAGAGGGCAGAATAAATGACTGATTGTGCCCTGGTGGAGTTTAGGATAAAATCGCACTTCGTGGTCTGTTTAACAGCTTGCCTTGTAAGTACACTAGGTGGATCAGCAAGTGGAAGTATTGTCCTGTGTCACTCAGCTCACCACAATTTCTTTATCACTGTAGCGCAACCTTTATTTCTAGTCCACCTTCTGCTTCAAAACACTGGACTCCACTTTTAATAAACACTTTTTTCCTGTTTCTCCTTCAGGAAGATTTTTTTCTTCTAGCATAAAACGCTACCCAGAATTTAATGCTACTTGGCTAATATTACAATGGCAATCAATAAAAACCCTCTGTATGCTTGTCACTAATGGAGTTGTATAGTTTTCTTTTTTGTGGATATTCTGAAAGAGGTGTTGTTTAATTTTGTTTCTGTTCTTGCTGATCACAAATGTTCCTTTTCCAGTGGCAGGACTGCGTTACAGATGAGTCGAGATCTTTCTATCCAGCTTCCCCGGCCTGATCAGAATGTGGCAAGAAGTCGAAGCAAGACTTACCCTAAGAGGACAGCGCAAACACAGCCAGCTGGTAAGACCCTCAGTTTTCTACATAATCTTGTCTTTTCTTTCAGGTTGGTGGCACAGGGGCATGTTCAGGTGGTGACCGGAGACCTTGAGGAGTCTTTTTATTTTTAATACTAAAATTTTAAATTTGCCATTGGAAATACCTAAACAATCTATAATTGCTAACAATTAGATAAATAGTCACTTGAGTCACGATGCCCTGCTAAATGGCTACAGCTTCTACTTGAGTTTTATTGCAAATAAAATCTTGATTGAATAATTTCTTACCTAAAATTGAAATCGAAGTGAACCTTTAGTATGTCTTTTTTAAAAAAGCAGCACTGTTGAAATGACATTATGTGTATAGAATCTAGTGGGTTTTTTGGTTTTTTAATCTTTTATTAGTAAACACAATATAGATGCAGAAAGTCAAAACACAGACATACACACATATATGCATAGGCTTGTATACATATGTGTTAATACACACAAAATGTTTAAAATAACTAATATCCATGAATGTCCCTTGAGAATTTCCCTGATTCTATTTTTACCATCTCATGCCCCCAATCAGAGGAAGCCCTGTTTAACTGGTGATAATCATTTCTTTACTTTTCACTATAATTTTTCTATTTGTGTAGGTTTTCCCTGCTCAGGTTAGTTTGTCTGTTTTTAATGTTGTAAGACTGAGTCATGGTCTATTATTTTGCATCTTAGTTCTTTTTAATCTTTATTGTGTATAGAATGTACTGAGTACATTCATTTTTCTTGCTGGATGCATTGTTGCTTATCAGTTTATTCCTTCTACTCCTGGTGGATGTTTGGCTTATTCAGACCTCTTGTTTCTTCTATAGATTATTTCTGTAATAAAACCACCTAATCAGTGAGTGATACCTACACATCAAAGCTTAAAGCTCAAAATTCTGTATGATGCAGGCCTGCACTGTGAAGTGAGGCGCTGACTTTGGTCTGTGGTTTGTGTAGGATCGTCTTTGTCTAAACTCTCCAGAGCCCTTGATGCACAATAACCTTGTGTGATGAGGTAAAGCAGAGGTATATGCCCATTGTATGAGTGAGTAAGACATGTTCCCAGCTGCCACACAGAGGTGGGCCTGGGACAGAGGCACAGGCTTTCTGAATCTTTCTGTCACATTGTGGGAAATGAATGGAAATTTTATCAGCATGGAAATTCACTTCACTTTATGATATCCATAGTTTCATTTAATCTGCAAGCTAAACCTGTGAAGAAAGTATTTGTGTCTGTCTCACCATTCTTGGTGTGCAAATGATACCTATCCTTTCTAAAACCAAATTAAATTTGACTGAAGGTCCCCTGCTATCACTGGGCTGTGAAGTAATTTTTTCTGGTGGTCTGCAGTGGCAAAAGTAAAATATAATCTAAATTTGCAGTAGATCATCATCTTGCCACATAAATATTACTGTCATCTCATTTGGTTGATGAGGGTTCAAAGACAGTTTGATCAAGATTATTGTGGAGCAGGCTCGGGGAGGGAGGAGCAGAGTCTGGGCCATCCTGAGGGAGGAGTTCCTTCCTGACTCTAGGCGTGACATTCCTATGAGGGGCAGGAACAGGGGCTGGAGCATAGGAAGCAGTTCCTCTGTGTCTCCAGATATGGCATTTCCAGCACATTTTATGGCAAGTTCTTAAGAAGTACAGACAAGAAGGAAGGAGAACAGGGTCAGTCTGAGGCCACTCAGAGAACGTTCCTACAATTACATAATAAGTAGATGTATTGGGCTAAAAATTCTGTCTTGAATGCCTTGTCTAATGCTTTATCTTGCTATTTTATATTTCTCTTCTATGAACAGCCTTAAATTCCAACTGTTCTATGGTAATAATAAGCAAAACTCCTAAATCCCATGGTATTTCTGAAATACCATGTGTGCTTTATAAAATTATTCAGAGACCAGCTGAGGCTATCAAATGCATTGCTGCAGGTCAGCATTTCATTCTGCTATGATACAGGAATCACACGTGCTGTTTGTACAAACCTGTGCAGTTTTTTTTCTCTCCTTCTGTATTCTTATGAAAATACCCATGTGGGGGAGCTCTCTGAATGTCTACATACTAGAAGCATTGTTTAGGGATAGATTTTTTTTTTCCCCTATGGCTTACCTAGATCCAGCTAAGTCCAGTTTACACAGTGGGGCTCATTCTTATGTATTCTGACCCCACGTGAGACCAGCCTGCCAGTTCTGCCACGCCACAGAGGGTGTGCAAAAAGAGCCCTTGCGGCAAGTTCTGTTGGGTGGAACATATTAAAACACGTCCCTTTTTCAATCAAGGACAAGGGTGTAGGTGGGTCTTACTGTGGGATAGGTGTCCTTCTCTGAGGACAGCCTTCCAGCATCATGTGGACATTTTGTTTAGTACTGGGGATTGAACCCAGGGTCTTCTCACTGAACCACATTCTCAGGCTTCTTTATTTTTACTTAGAGACAGGATTTTGCTACATTACTCAGAGTAGGCTTGAATTTGTGATCATCCTGCCTCAGCCACTTGGGATTACAGGTGTGTGCCATCACGCCTGGCTATGTGATCTTTAAAAAATGGAGTGTGTGTTATACATTTATCATTATAAAAACACATGATTGCTTTTATGAAACATAGAAAACTTAGAGACTTTCCTCCCAGAAAGTAAAAACCCCTTTGCATTCAATTCTATCTCTCATAGTAGCACTGTATTATTATGGCCTTTTAGACATTTTTATTTAACTTCCACAAAAGCATATAATATTTTGTAACCTACTTTTTATTTAATGTATCATGGATATGATCTACATCTTTAAATATTCTTATATAGCATGATTTCAATGTCTGTATGATATTCTGCTATATAAATATGTATAGATATGACATAATTTATTCAAACAGTCTTTAATTCTTAGGTATATAAACTTTCAAAATTTGAAAACTAAAGTTAATGCCCTGGTAGTAATATCCTTAGGCATTTATGACTTATTATTATATATGTATATTTTAATACATATATGTAGTCACCATTTTTATTCTAACAAGATTAATGCTGTGTTAAAATACTCAGATTCATACAAGCAAGTTTCACTTTGACTTTGGGTGCTTCTAGCTTGACTTTTTGTGATGTGTTCTGGGGACCAGTAGTCAACCCCTCTATGAGAGAGTGTTTGTCCTGGGAAACCAAAGAATCATTCAGTAAATGTTAGTGATCCAGCATTGTGGCTACTGTTGGACACATACGGAGGATGTCGTGGGGCAGAGATTAGTTTTATTCCATTTTAAAAATGTTATGTTATCTCCTTGCTTTATCTCAAATGAACTCTGCATTGAGCTTCCACTGACCCTGGTTGGTGGAGAGCCAGGCTGAGCTGGCCTCTACTCCTATAGTGGTGCTGGGATGCTGACTTGGAGCAGAATATTTGGAGAAGGCCCTCGGGTCTTTACTTGGTCAGTACTGCAGTGCTCATGTCCACAGGCTACTTGTCCAAGCCCTGAGGCCCATGAAGGTGGGCAGTCTGTTTGATGCTGCTTCCAGAGTGTGAAATAGGAGGCACTGTCCTCCCTCCTGGCTCAGGGGCTGGCCTGCATGGAGCGGCTACCCTGCTGCCTGCCCTTCCTCTTCCTCCGGCACCTGCTGCTTCAGATCAGCCTCTTCCTGCTCCTGGCTCTCACTCATTGGTAGCTGGGCAGGAAAGAAAGGATAGCACTTAATAAAAAGTTTTTCCTGGACTGGGCATGCATGTAGCTCAGAGGTTCAGTGCTCATCTAGCATGTGTGAAGCTCTGGGTTTGATCTTCAGCATGCCACCCCCCCCAAAAAAAAATCAGAAACCTTTCTTACTGGAAAACCAAAATACTATGTGACCACAGCTACTTAAATTTTTATTTTAAAGTTTTGAGAATTGAAAGAAAGCTGATTTATAGCTATTTTAAAACATTTTTTATCACATTATGTTTGTAAGAAATGGAGTTAGTTTAAATAATTTTCTTTTACTGTGATAAAGCTTGCTATTAATTTTATGGACCAAAATCTGTTTCAAGATTCTCTCTAAACTTTAGAACTACAGGTTTTGGAATTATCAGCATACTTTCTCATTGCTCATTTAACAGTTATGTATAATGAAAAGCAAGTTATAAGAGAAAACAAAGTGTTACTTTCTGTGAGTTTGTATCAGTAACTTATATTACATGACTTTTTACTTTTGAGGACTTTTTTTCATTTCTTTTGGTTAAAGTAATTCAACACACTTCAGTGACTATTCTCCTTAATCTACATCTCAGTTTTAAGTTTAAAAAGCCTTTTATTCACCTCTCAGTCAGAAATAATAAACTTCAGGGAGCTAAAAAGCCATTGTGTGTAGGATCTGCCAGATTCGGGCTTTGGCACTGCTATGAGGAAGTACATTCCAGTCAAGAGCCCTGCGCCCAGGCCCAGCAGCCTGTGGCCCCACCCCAGGAGCTCAGGGCCTGGGCAGCCAGCCAGGACATTCCTGAAAATCAGAACTGCTTCACAGAGGCAGGAGTGGAGGGGAGAGAGACGGTGGATCAGAAAAGTGTGTTTGTGTACAAGCCTTTTCTCTGCGGAGTTCTTGACAGCTCTCTTAGGTGGGTTCTTGTCCAGAGTCTCTAGATAAAAAGGCAATAACCAGAAGACTATTTAGACATTCTGCATTACTAGCTGTAAAGAAAATAATGGGTGTGACCTACTGTAGCAAATAAACAATGCTGTGATTATCTGATGCATTTTAAGCATTTTAAGTTCTTGGAAGTAGTCCATGGATAGACACCGAAGTAAATACTGCTGCAGCATCTTTGAATTATGAAAAAGTAAGACAGGGTGGCATTTTGGCAATGGCCTCCATGTCTGAGGGGACACCAACGTAATTCCTGAGAGAGGACAGTTCCTGCTTGGCATGCGAACAGACAGCCACTGCTTGGACCACTGCTGGGGAGGGGGAACCCAGTGCTGACAAATCTTCCTGTGGTTCAAGAGAATTACAAAATCTGGATGCTTACAGGAACTTTCTA